GCCCATAGTGTGTGCAAAAGTCTAGTTGTACAATTGCTGGGATGCTTTAGGAAATGTAAAAAAAAATGCCTGAAGTAGTTGGAAGTCAATTTAAATCTGTTAAAATAATGAAATGAATAAGGAAACATTATTTAAAATGATTTGTTTTCTTTATGTAAAATCTTATTCTCATTATAAATGTGATGGAACATGCTAAAATGTTCTAAATGAGGGGAAACAAGTTTGGATAGGGTTCACAGTGTCAAGACTGCAATAATTTTTAAATACTATGCAAATAAGTAACTTTATTTATTTATTTATTTATTTATTTATTTATTTATTAAGCTCCATAAGGAAACATGGTTGAAATGWCCTGCAGTCTTATAAAGCAAAAGCTAAAAATATTTTTGGGAAATCACAAAAGTTGTGTTCTCCAGGCTGAAGACAAAGAAGGATCATCCAATTTCTTATCAGCTTGCTGTTCAAAAGCCAGAATCTGTGATGTATGATGGTGTATTTTTTGCAGGGGGCATGGGTGCTGTGAGTGCGCTATTTATACCGAATGATTTATGTAGGTTTTGGAGCAACAGATCTTCTGATCTAGACAATGTCTGAGTCATGAAAGGTCAATATGAGTTGTCAGCAAGACATTTCCACATTTCACAAGCATTATACAACATTTTTTCCACAGTTAAGAAGGTAAAATGACTTTGCTGGGTGTCATGCAGAAGACTCAAACAAACTAAAATAAAACAAAGAATATTGAAATTTCTTTGTAATGTGTGTTTAACCACAGAATAATAGAATGGTGCAGAATTATTATTGTATATCAGTTTTTGTTCTTGGCCCTGGTTGGATTGGTCATTGGCTAGGTTGTCTGGTTAAAATTAGAATAAAAACTTTATTTAAAGGTTTAAAATATATTTATACTGGAACTTTATGGGGTATGGGCATAAAACTGGTCTTGTAGCACGTAACTATTGCCCACTAAAAACTTGATAAACATTAAAAAAGGAGGAACTTTGCACTCCTGGAGGCCCACATTACAAAAGGTAAAACAACTTTCCCCCAAAACTAATGAATCTGTTTTCATCAGTTTCCYAAGTGGTGCTTAAAAAAGAGGTGATGCAACACAACAAGCATGCCTCCATTTTTATTATATTCAAGTTTCTGGCATTAAAATAAGAATATGTATTTTTAAGTTAACATGTTATTTTCTATTTTGCACAGTATCCTCACATTTGTAATATCACTTGTACCAATAAACTAATATCTGCTTGACCTAAATTTATCATATGTCAAGTTTTGCAGAGACCATTTAAAAATAAAATTGTTTGATACATTTATGTTTAATGTGAAATAAACAATTTTTCAGCTGAACTTMACACATATTAGAAAAAGTTCTTAATGTTACACAGTCATTTTTGTTTTTTCTATGAGCAAATTGTTAATATTCTTTTTAATGTTCTAGACGTGAACTTTTATGTATTAGTATTTTGTATTCATAAACCTACTAGTAGATATGCCTTTATCTATCAAAATACCTGAAATGTTACAGAAGGCTCCAGGTGCACATGGTATGGGCTCTGAGCTTCCCAAAGGACAGTAAAAGCCTGCTTGGCAGCGCCCCCCTGTGGAGGTAGCTGGGCACAGACAGTTGGCATTTGTGTAATTGTCAAGGTCAAAGGGCTGCGAGTTCCATGCTGCAGACACACAGAACCAACCTGCAAAGCAGAAACCACATGATAATTCCCTCAGTGATGGGTAAAATGGGAAACTCAACATTCCAGAGAAAGAAAAGAAGAAAAAACTGAGAACTGTGAGTGAGATGAGACACTGAGGAGGAATAAAATGGTTTCACAAACCAGACAGGKATGCATCCAGTTTCAACCCCTGACTTCTGAACAATACATGACTTCCTTTTAGGACCAGGCTCTTTTGCAGCTTTCAACATAAATAAATAATATATATACAGAGAATTATTTAAGAGCTGTTGTTGTTGCTGAACTGCTGCTGTTGTGGAGATGTGATGTCTCGTGCTTCGTGCGCACGCTTTGTTCTTCTCTTCAGAGTCTTGCAGACTGCTTTGGACCAGTTCACCGGCTCCCCGAAGCCAAACAGGCTGGCACGGAGAAAACAGCCTTGACATTGCGAAGCTAGGCTGCATGACTGTGACTATGTGCTCGGAAGGAATGCACAAAGACGCGGTTACACACCAGCTTTGCATCTTCCCGACACGTTGGTCAGCCGCTCTTTCTCACAGTAGTGTCCTGGAGGACAAGGCAGGCAGCTGTCCAGACTCTGAGTCATGGGCTCCGGGTTGTAGTATCCTCGAGGACAGGGAAATTGGGTAGCGTGCTTGGTTCCTGCGCATGCATAAGACAGTTGTGTTTTAGGCAAGAGCCCACTGCTTTGTGGGGATTTACAAAACGTTTCATGTATGTGTACGAACTGAAGAAAGAAAGTTGCCACAGTAGAAACTGATTATCAAAGCTAATATGACAGTCTTCTTTGTTAGAGAATTTTCACTAGTTTTAAATAAATTAGTCAATATTTTTAAGAGCACAAGAAAAAACCAGATGGCTGGTTGTGTTTTGCATGATAATACCATCAGGACAGTAGAATCCAGGAGGGCAGGGGAACTTGGTAAAATTGCCAGTCTTTTCTGGACAATAATATCCTGCGGGGCAGCGGGAACACACTGGCTGACCTGTCAGGTTGGTGTAGGTTCCAGCAGGGCAGGGCGCAGGCCTGGCACTCGCCTCGGGGCAGTAATGACTCGGTGGGCAAAGCCCTCCTTCTGAGCCTGGAGAGAAAATTCAATTAAACGTGTTAGAACATTGAAATTAGCACTGCCTAGCTCCTAATGTGATGAATCTAGTTAGAAGCGCATGATTAATTCAGTAATCATTCATTCAATCAAATGCACTCCCACATTCAGGGTGTCCTGCATTCATCACCCTCTGATTCTCTTCCATATGAAGCTTACTCATGAGATTTAAATTCACACAGAAATTCTGATAGATTTTACTGCAAGAAATTCAATTAATGAACCATCACAGTTTTGTTTATATTTAAAGCTGATCAAAATCATGCTTTTATTTTTTTTTAATTTGCAGAAATGATGAAGTGTATACATAATCAGCATTCTGATTATGTACCTGTGCTTGTTGTGTCTCCACCTGGACAATAGGATCCTGCCTGACACTGACCAGATGGGTGCGTGAGACCTGGCGTGGCACAAAACTGACCCGCCGGGCATGGAGTACAGCCAGAGGCGTCCATCAGATACAAACTGCAGGCATAAAAAAAAGGTTGAGTGCATGCATGGACAAACATCCGWGGCCACCCGGTTAAAATAATATGTACGGTTTGGGCCGAGCAACCTGTCTGAGTACGTCCCAGGCGGACAGGGCAGAGGGAGTCCGGTGCCCTGAGGACAGTATCTCCCCTGTGGACACACTCCTCCTATCCCTGTGCTGAAGTTGCCGTCAGGATTCTCAAAGTTTACACCTTGAAACGTTGATAATTTCATTAAGGTTTAGACATCTGCATTCATTTTGTGAGAAAAAACAAGGAAATACTTTTTTTAAAAATTCATTTTATTTAGCGTACCTGCTATACAGTAGTAACCAGCCTGACAGGGTCCACTAGGTTCAAACAGCCCCCAGTCCTCACAGTAGAAACCTGTAGAAATCATCACTGGGGTGGTATAGTGTTCATAACAAATGCTGACAACATCATAATATACCCCCTCATTTACTTAACTAAATATGATTAAAACTTAAATTGTTGCCTTGAATTTACATCAGTTAGTTTCAAACCACACTGAAAATAAATTACCAATTTTAACTCCACATTTTGCYAGCAGAATTCAAATGGCTTTTAGAGCGACAGAGGAGAGGAAAACTATGAAACAATGCTCTCACCTGCTGGACAAATGAGGCACTGCTCCACCTGACTGAGACCGAGCTGAGGGCTGTAGGTGCCAGGTGGGCACGGCAGAATGCCCTCAACCCCTCCACCGAGACAGTAGTGGCCTGCTGGACAGGACTGGACACTTTCTCCTGACAGACAGTATGTGCCTGACGGACAGTCATTGCACATTCCTGCGCCTTTGTTTATAAAGAAAATGAAAACAAAATTTAAGCAAGATGTTCACTTTATACTGAAAACTTCTGCTGACATTTGATCTCATTTTATGTTTTTGTACCTGTTGAGTTTGAGTAAGTCCCATCAGGACAAGGTATAGGAAAAGCTGAGCCTAAAGGACAATAGTATCCAACTGGACATATGTCTCCTGTCATCCCATCCGAGGGCTTTGAAAACTCTGCCCCTCCTAAGCAGTAATAACCTATAAATTAGGAAAAATAAGAATAAATAACTAAATATAATTTCAGCTGATTAGCAATACAACCTGTGGGAAATTATCTACAGGTGAAGAATGTGGCAAATGTATCTTCTCATAAAATACATTTAGAAAGAGCAGGGACAAGCACAAAATGATGAAAGCCATGTTAACATTAAATGTTTTGATACCAATAGTACATATTCCTGAAGGCTGGCTGAGTCCGGTGCTGTTGCAATAAAGTCCAGGTGGGCAGGGCCAACAGGACGACAGATTCTGGGCTCCTATAGAGCTGCTCCAGGTTCCTACAGGACAAGGGTGCTGTCGCGAGTACTTGGTCCCGCGTGGACAGACGTAGCCAGCAGGACACACATCACCAGAGGCTAAAGCAACCTGCAGGAGTTCAGAGAATTATCCATTAATTATCTCCATCATGACTGAAACTGAATATTTCCAAACTTTAGACTGCCCACCCCCACCCAAACTTGAATAAATCATCTTTTTGCTTCAATATGTGATGAAGTTTGATCCATTTGGCTTTGTTTTGATTGTTTCAGACAGTTAAAACTTGAAGCTGTGGGCAGTTTGAGCTGTCATTCAAGTCCTACGCACCGTCAAAAAGAAGCTTACCAAAAGAAGAAAATGTCAATAATTTATTTAAACTGAAACAAACAGGAATGGAACATGGCTTTAAATTCATACTTATGTCAAATAACTGCTGATGAATGGCAACGCACAGGCGAAAAAAAAAAAAAAAAAGCTGCCATCAAATCAACAACGTTGTGATTCAAAAACCAGGACATTTTTACCTCGTTAATTGCCCTGTTTCTCTTTTTTTATGCTCCCTCCCCCGCTCACACAGCACCATGCTGACAAACTGCCTCACTTGAGCAAAACTAAATTCTAGACATAAATTGCCAACAAGCACATAGCAAAGAAATGATCATACATTCCACCTTCCTGTAGAAAAAGGCATCCCAATATCTTAGCACATCAGAGGAATAAAGCCAGTAAAAAAATTTTTATTTCTCGATATGATTTGAAAACATTAATTTAAAAGCCTTTTAATTCAAGGCAGGGGCTGCAAAAAAAAAAAAAAAAAGAAGAAATCATACTTATTATTTCATTATTCTTGCAATATCTCATAAAATTTTGATTTTATTTCCTAAAACAAGTGATGGAAAAGATGTAAAAAAAAGTATTTCCCTACAATTCAGAGTTTAGTCTGCCATTTGTTAGAGACATTTTCGAAGTTATTTTAGTGTGACMTACGGGAGAGCCAGTGGAGGCTCCCGAGGTGCAGTAGTGTCCTGGGTCACAGAGACCTTCAGGTTTAGTGAGGCCGGCTCTGTTACAAAACCAACCTGCCTCACACGGTCGACAGTGCTGCACAGCCTCACCACTGGGTTGGTCAGAGTAAGAACCCTGAAAAACCAGATAATTAGAATAAAAAAAATCATAGCACATGAGAGCACAATCAATAAATGTATACTATTTAAAATATCAAACGTAAAACAGTTTTGTACTTAAGTCTCAAGCATTTTGCTTGGAGAGTGAAATAATGACAGCTGTTGCATTCAAAAGATAATCTGATGTGACAATACAGTGATGTATTTATAAAGATGCTTATTGAAGTACAGGTTATATGTTTATAAATTAAACTATTCTTCAGCCAGGAGAAGCAGGTTTAAAGGGACTATTTCCAACTTTTGAAATGTTCAGTTCAGTGAAAGGATTATAAAAACAAATATCTTATTTATTTATTCACCATTATTTAACCAGGCAAATCCCATTGAGATCTCAGATCTCTTTTTCAAGGGAGGCCTGGAGGCAACATTGTACGTTTTAGGGGTGGGGGAAACCCACACAAGCACAAGAATATGCAAACTCCGCCCAGACAGACCCCGTCCAAACTACTTTTTAGAAAACACTTTGATGCCATCAGTTTGGAGAATGAGATTAATGTTGATCAGAATTATTATTATTATTATTATTATTATTATTATTATTATTATTATTATTATTATTATTATTATTATTATTATTATTGCATTATCAATAGCTACAGGCTAGCCTAAAAAGGTATATGATGACCTTGATCTAGGATTGCTATTGTATTAAAACAACCACAGTCATTAGAAATAGTGGTTCTCTTAAACAATAGTTTTAAACCTTTACATCTACATAATATTACATGGATTTGCTGCTGCCTATCTCGACCATATTCCTCTTATAAAAAAGGTTTTTAATCTCAGTTGGACACCTGGCTTAAATAAAGGTTAAATAAAGTAAAAAATAAAATACAATAAACAATTTTATGGTTATTTACTAGCACAGACTGGCAGTAGTAGCCAATTGTAGCAGTTAAGGTGCAGCGTGGGGCGTTTTGAAGAATTGTATGTATTTCTACATAATATGTCTGCAAAAATTGTCTACAGTGTAAAGATTTGTATGAAACTTTTATGATTGGAGTTGCATGGCAACAATTCAGATCGATCTTGGACCCACCTGGACATTAGCTTCTCAATCTGGTCAAAATAAACTCAAATTATTTGAAATATTCCTTTCCTTTATTTCCCCTTTCCAGACATGCATGTTATTTTAAACAATAAGATAGCACATAAATAAACTTATGAGGCTTAATAAAAATAAATAAAACAACAAYCATGACACACAAGAAGAATTCAGTTTAGATTATTATAGTCTTGCAGATCCTAACAGAAATACTGACAGGAGGACAGGTATGAGGAGTAGAAGAGCCACGAGGACAGTAATGTCCTTCGGGGCACAGCGATGGTTGGGACAAACCCATTTGATTGCACAGTCTGCCTGCCTGACACTCCACGCACGACCCTGCACCCCGACGCTGCAGAGGAATTTTAAAGGTAAGCACAGAGCTTTAAAAATTTATCAGCACACTTTCAGTTCAGATAAAGTGATATTCTGTGTGGATTACTTCGCACCGGCTGAAAAGTGCCAAGAGGACATGGCTCTGCCCTGGCTGCTCCCTGCAAAGAATAAAACCCTTCTTCTGCTTCATTCTGAACAGGTGAAGCTGAGCCTCCAGTACAGTAGAAACCAGGAAAACAAGGTCCTGAAGGTGAGGTGTTGTTGGAACCTAGGCAATAAAAACTGACAGAGAAAGAGGAAGGCACGATGACTCACAGAGTGAAGGCGTTAACTTCAACATTGTCCAGTCGGATGATATCTGAGTAATCACTTTGCAAAGCAGAGAGGAGTGAGATTACCCCGGTGGACAGCTAATACACTCATCCGGGACGGCGAGTCCAGAGCTGTTGCTGAAAGTGCCAGCGGGGCAGGGGAGGGGGGAGATCGACGCATCAGGACAATAACTTCCAGGTGGGCACAAACCTCCAGTCGGTCCGTCAAGTGGAGTCTGAATAAAATAAAAAGACACAGATGTGAAGAGATACAAATTAATACCATTTAATACTTTATTTAAATAGGTGTCTTCTATCTACAGTAAAAATTTGACAATGCTTGCTTGTGTGATGGGTGTGGTTTTATGGCAAACATATTGGAAGAAACTTTTGAATATCTAAAAGGCACATAAACACACTTCAATAAGCAGAAACCTGATGGGAGTCAACAAGGGTGACTAAAAACTGATTCAACTATAGACTATAAATTTACATCCAATTTATAGGACTTCAATACTGGGATTTAAAAACCAAACAAAAAATTACACAATTTTACCATCTACAGATTTTTCATTTTCTTTTACAGAAAGAGTTTTGACATACTGCAGACTTGGCTCCCATTCTACAGTAGAAACCCTTTTTGCAGCTTCCGGAAGGCTCTMCAAGTCCAAAACCAGTGCAGTACTGGCCTCCGCCACAGGGTGTGCACTCTGAAACATCACTGAGAGCAGAGCGGGAGCTGTACATTCCCTCGGGACAAGGTTTGGGAATAGACGTGCCCTCTGGACAGAAAAAGCCCTGAATAGCACAACAGAATGTGACAATGGCTCAAATTCTCTCGCTTGTGTATTTATTGGGACAAGCACAAATGTTACATGGTGTTATCAATAAAAAAGAAAGGTGTGTTTTCTACCTGAGGGCAGAGTAATGGCATTTCAGTTCCAAGTTTGTTGCAGTAATGTCTGGATGGACATAAAATACACACTTCTCCACTGTGACTGAGTGTATTGTTCCTGTATCTACCAACCTGGCAGGGATTGGTGTAGGGGAAGCCAGTTCCTGGGGGGCAAAAGTGTCCATTGGGACACTCCCCTGTCTAAAACATGAGAACAAAATGATATATACAACATTTTATTGGCACAAACAGTATTAAGATATAGTGTAAAAACGGCTATTCATTTTTATGTAAATAAGTGTATTTTTAATCAGACAATTGAAGTTTGATGTGGTTATTTTGCTGCTGTTTATTCTTACAGGTCTAGTAATTGGCTGCTCCTGAGGTTGCTGGGAAAAACAGTATTTCCCCTCAGGACACCGGATACACTCTGATTCATCACGTAGACCAGGAGATTTTCCATATGTGCCATTGGGGCAAGGAATTGGGTTGGGATTCTTTAAATGAAACAACATTTGCAGGTTAGGTTATGCTCATCCATCCATTTATTTATTACATTTACCTGCATTTTCCTTTCCAGGTTGGAGAGGAGCTGGTACATATTTGTCAGCATGACGACTCAGTGGTTAGCACTGATGCCTCACAGCAAGAASGTCCTGCTTTCGATCCCCAGTTAAAGCCTGGGGTCTTTCTGTGTGGAGTTTGCATTGTACTCATGCTTGCATGGGTTTCTCCTGGTTGTGGTCCTGGTTTCCCCCACAGCACAAAAACACATACAATAGGTTGTCTTCAGGCCCAGGCCTCCCATGCAAAAGAGATCTGCGATCTCAATGGGATGTGCCTGGTTAAATAAAGGTAATTAAATAAACATCTACAGCGGTCATTGTGCAAGAAGTGGGGTACACCCTGGACAGGTCACAAGTCCATCACAGGGCCACATAAAGCTAAATTAAATAACAATTCACACCAATTAACCTAACATGCATTGGAAGAACATGCAAACTCCCCATAAAAACACCTGGAAGTGAACCTGCTTCTTCTTGTGAGGCAACAGCAAATAACTGTAACAACATGCCTCCCCCTTATGCACATTTGTATGTATACTTTTATAAACTCATTCCATTCATGAGCATCATCCCCTGACTCACAATGCCTCCTCCTGGGCAGTAGAAACCTCGAGGGCAGAGAGTGGCAGAGCGCTGGGGGTCTCTGGCCAAACCCTGGGAGCACAGGAAACCAGGGGGGCACACCATGACACTTAACATAGCCTCCTCAGTGGTGGTCTCATCACTGCAGTAATGGCCCTGCAGGCATGGAGAGCACTCCACAGAGCCTTCGTCCTACAGACAAGAGAATGTGAAGAAAGCTCTGCAGAGTTAAAGATATGAACTGGCACGGGGGAGGGATACAGAAAAGTACAAACTGACAAGTCAAGTAAAAAGAAACCTGGAAAATGCTGGAACTCTAAAATTGACTCAATCTGAGAAAATAGAGGAAAAAAATGGATTATCTATGATAAAAAAGCACTTTGCTTTTTTTCTCTTGCTGACATTTACAGACATACACTCCAGGTGAGTAATGTAAGACGACCGCATGTGGGTGGGAAATGTAATCTATAAATAGGACAATCAGAATGGTTTATGGATAGATAAGAATACACCAGCGTTTGGTTTCCACTGGTTCTGTCAGTTGGATTGTGTTTAATGGGGCCTTACAGAGTAGCTGCCAGCTCCACACACTCTGGGGTTGATAGTGGCTGAGTGGGGACAAAAATAGCCAGCAGGGCAAGGAGAGCAGTCCTCTGGCCTTTGCCCTCCTTTCAACTGCTGAAATGTAGAGCTGGGAAAGATGGGATAAATAAGATTCACTGAATCATAATTTGTTAATGCAAAATCTAGTCACAGCATCTRCACCATTATTACCATATCTTCTAAATTCTGCTTACGGTGGGCAAGGTGAAGGTTTAGAGGTTCCTGCTTGACAGAATGAGCCTTCGAGACAAATCAAGCAGTCCTCTTTGTGTCTGTTGCCCATTTGGATGCTGTAAGTGCCTGCAGGGCAGGGGAACTGGGTGCCATATGCAGTCCCTGTTGAGGCAACATTGATTTAGTTATATTCACATGGATGACTCATGGTTATAACTCAGGAGAAGACAAATCAATTTCATACGAAGAGGTGCACTTAAAGGGACAGTTCAGAACTTCAGAACAGCGTTATTCGAGCTGAGTGGACAAGATGACGGTTGATTTGATTCCTGCAGTTTTAAAACACTTTTTTTAAATTCTCATAGCAGTTCAAGCAAATGCTATTTTATGAACATTTACAGAACAATCACTTTTGTATTGCCTGGATGATCCAGCAGAAATACACCACACAGTTTACCTTCAGGACAATAGTGTCCAGAATTGCATCGGCCCGTTGGTGCTGCAGAGCCGGCCAAACAGTACCAGCCCCGTGGACAACGCTGACACTCTCTTTCAGCCTCTAGCCCACTGTGACTGCTCCATGTCCCCATGGGACACTTGTACTGGGTTGGAAACATGGTTCCAGGTGGACAGTAATGTCCAGCAAAGCAATAAAGGGGAGGTCTTTGGACACCACCAGTTCCTGAATGATCAGAAATTGTACCGTTACCAATATGGAATAATGTTTTTTGACGTAAAATGACAGGTTGAAAAATATGACCCAAAGAGATTACATTAAACTGTTATGCACTCCTAGAGACTCCAAGTACACAACAAAATGCATGTAATGACTAAAGAAGTTGTGTTTGCATGCTATGTTCTCTTTAAAACAAGTTACCCATAATACATTTTCAAACAAGCTGATCAATGTAGAGTGAACAACCAGTTTAGTAGAGACAATCACTTGTAATTTAATTTCTCTGTAATTATCATCTGTTAAGCAGAACACATCCACAAGGCTTAGAAAATCCCTACATCGATCAACATGTTGCCTCAAACTCTTAAATACAAAATAAATTAGAGTAATACATCAATAAGCTCTGTAAAACATCAGGATATATTATATTTTCTGAAATCCACATAATATATAACACATGAACAGATGTATAAAGTCTCACCTCTTAAACAGGCAAATCGTGCAGGACACTGCTGACATTGCGAGCGGTCAGTAAGGTTGGTGCGATTGCTAAGTGTCCCCGGTGGGCAGGCGTTGGCTGGTGCGTTGGGTTTTGAGGATGCAAGAGGACACACAAACCTGGGTGGAATCAAACAAATTGATCGCACAGGATTAGGCAAATACCAATTTCTTCAGCATTCAAAATGCTTGGGTGATCTTCAATACCAAAGATAAAGGGTTGGAAATTGAAGTGTGAAGACGCAGGCTTCAGTGATGAGGTGGTTATTTACCCCTGCATGCAGTCCACATCAGGGGCTCTCAGACCAATCTGTGTGCAGGCCTTCCCTGCATAGCACTCTCTGCAGTCAGCCAACTCATCCTGACCCTCCAAGGGGTTAAAAGAGCCAGATGGACATGGCATTGGATCTCTTGTCCCCTCTGGACAGTAAAAACCAGCTGGGCATTTGAGACAATCCTTCACACCTGGAGAGAAAATTCACAGTGCATTGAAAGAATACAGTGTATTATTATTATTATTATTATTATTATTATTATTATTATTATTATTATTATTATTATTATTATTATTATTATTATTATTATTATTCCTCTGCAAGATTTCTCTCATCCATCATTTTGCATATACTAGACTCACTTCCCCAGCTCATACTTACTGACTCATTTTCTCCAATTGCTCTTCTGGGTGTCCATCTGTTGAATTTTCTCACCTGTATGTTTTGCTAAATGAACTCTGGTTTTTATGTAATCATTGACCTTTTGTTCTGATAGCTTCGGATTAGTTTAAATGAACTTTAGCAAAAGCATAGGACTCTGAAACGAAAATTTAATTGCAATAATTGCATGGATAGTTTTGAGCATCTGATTTTAAGGAAACTAAGTGTAAATATACATAGGACCATTTCATAGATCCTCAGTAAAAAAGAAGAGATGTTGTGTAAATTATGAATAAAAAGAGAATGCAATGGTTTGGCAATGTCCTAATTTTTCAGAACTGTGGCTGCAGTTTATTATTGTATATATAAACAGAAGTGGAGCATGCAAACTTACTTATAGCTCCTTGATGAGGGGTAAAGGTGCCTGGAGGACATGTCACTTCCTCCAAGGTTCCAGCAGGACAAAAACTTCCTCGAGCACAAGGGAGGCCTGGACCTGATGTGCCTGATTTAAACAACACAGAGAAAAGCATAGGTTTGGAGACATTGACTCATCAAAAATACACTCAATTAGTGCTGGAGAAAAAAAAACATGTCTTATCATAACCTACTTTTTTTTTTTTCCCCATATATCGATATAGTTACTTTTGGGGACACGTGTATCTGTGTTTCAGTTTTTGTTGCTCTCTCGAAGTGAGTGTGTAAATGCAAAGACTTACCTGCAGGGCAGAAGCGTCCCTCTCTGCATCTCTTACAGGCTGCCCTACTAGTTTGACCCAGTTGTTCCCCTGCTGTGCCAGCAGGACAAGGTGACCCATGAGGAGTGGTGGTGCCCTCCTCACAGTAATAGCCCAGTGGGCACATGAACTGGGAGGTGGGTCTCTGAGAGCTGCCTTCCAGACAGTAGAACCCTTGAAAAAAAATATTCATGGATCAGACAAGGATTTAGTAAAATACAACTTGTGTGCTTGAAAATACATGAAGTTGGAAGTTTGTAGACAGCTGTTACCTGCAGGACAAATTGTGCAGTCCTTCAGTCTCTGCAGACCTTCTTTAGCGCCGTAAGTCCCGGCAGGACAAGGTAAAGCAACACCTCCCACACAATAATGACCTGAGATGATAACAAACAAATCGAAACATTTATTTGGTTTCCTTCACGAGAAAAAAAAGCACCATGAATCTAGTAATGAACTCAAACCTTTTGGGCAGACAATGCAAGCTGAGTCTTCATTCATATGCTTGTAGGTTCCTGCTCGACAAGTGATGGGTTGGTCTAATCTTTGGCTCCAGCGCGGTGCCGCAGCTACCCCACACAGCGAGGACGTGTCGTTACATCTACGGCAGTAGGTCTGTCCAGGTGTGGAGGATGAGCCAGGAGGACAGGGCAGCGGCTGAGACATCCCCTTATCTGGACAGTAGCTTRCTATAACAGGTGGAAGAAAGAGCTTTTAAAGATTGTGGAACATTTACCAGATCTTACACATTGCAGAGGTCATTTCTGTTAGCTACACTACCTGCTGGGCACGCCAGACACTGAACAGTACAAGCAGTGGAATAAAAACCTGGGGAGCAGTCATTACACTCAGTGTGATCTGCATCTGGCTCCTTTCCAGGTCCACACTATAGACGCATATTGATAAAACAGCTGGAGTAAAGGTGGTTCAGATTTTGTTTTGGCAAACTGTAAAAGCATTTTCTAATGATTAACCATTTTTCCCCTTGTTTTATTAATCCTGACCTTATAAGGGAATCCATATATGCAAATAGAATCAAAAGGACAGGTCAGACACTGCAGAACCCCTTCTGGAGAATGTTGTCCTGCAGGGCATATATAAATTGTCTCATTGGTGGGATCACATGAAAAGCCAGCAGGACACAGCCTACAGTCCACTCTGTCCTCTGAACTGATCAGACCTGGAAAACAAGGCTGAAACATAGAACAGTAGGTAATGAGTGAATGCAATCACAGAAAAATCAAGTACTGTGCAAAGTCATCATGATCTGTTGCATTATTCTGCAATGAATCCTGGAAAAGTCTTCCTTGTGATTTTAGTAGATTTTTGTGTGCATTTCATACAATGAAATAAAAAAATGGTTGTGAAAATTAATATACTGAATTTATTTTCAGTCTAAAGTGCAAAATGTTTCCATTTTTAGACATTAAAATGTTTGACTGAATTTTTTTTATTTTATTTTATTTAAATCCGCAGGTGTGTTTTACCTTACAGTCAGTGATGCTGCTTTTCGCTGTGTAGAGGTTGAATGTTCCTGCGGGACACCTTGTAGGTGCAGAAACATTGCCAGGGCAACTATATAAAGGAAACATGTTATTGAAACTTATTGAAACGTAACTCTGATATGATATATATTATATTCTTTCACTAACAGTAAAAAAATACAAAAATATTTGTGATGACCTACAAATGACCAGAGGGGCAGTCCAAACAAAGCTTCTGGTTGAAGTATTTTCCTTTTGGACACTGATCAAAGTCTGATTCTTGATTGAGAAAAAGGTCTGCGCTCCCCTCCGAGGATTCTTACAAGTTTAGAGAATGTACAAGTGTTTATTATTATAAAGATAATTATACTTTAAAAAGAACTGGGAGATGTACTAAATTTGTTCTTACCTGAAGCAACTCCAGATTGTGTCAGCAGCAGAAAAATCCAGGAAGCTGAAAAGCTGAGCATATCTCTCCAAAAATCCATCAGCATTGAAACTCTAATCAACATGAGTGAGTTGCAGTTTTTTTTTTCTTTTTTTCAAACCAGGCTGTTTGCTGTAAAATCTACATGGAGAACTGTTTCAAGCCAAGAAAGTGAGAGGTCCTTTGCCTAAAAGTGAAACAACCATGAAATGTGATTCCCTGGTGGTAACTTAAGCTGACAGTGATGTGCAATTAGGTTCTGTAACCWTATCTGTGACTTTTATAATGCATGAGCAAGTGCTAAAGTTTGCATGTTGTTTCTTTTAGTAGATCACTGCAATTATTTATATTGCCCAAATATGGTCATTTACTCTAAGCTGATGATTTAAGTTTACTTGAATGATGTTTGAAATTTGATATATTTCTGAAATAAAAAGCATATTAAAAGCCTGGCTTTCCTTGATGAAATGCATCTGCTGTCTTCCATGTCAGCATTTTAAACTAATAGTATCTTATGATGAGAAAGAGCAACATTATAGCTTTTTTTAACAAACCTTACAAATGCTGTCATGTTTGAACTTGTGCGATATTGCAAAATCCTGCACAATATATTAGTGCTCAGAGCTGAGTATGAATCTCAGCTACCACATCAAACGTTAATGACTGGTCATTTGCTAGTTATGTGTTGGTTACAGTTAATAAGCTGTTGCTTTGTTAAAAATAATCTGTTCATTGGTTCATTTTTCAGTTTTTACTAATGCTACAAAAAACACACACACAACATGCAAACAAAACATTATAGCCTTCAAAATGGTCCAATCAGAGAACTTTGAAATTAATAATTTACAGCGGGTAAAATAAGTATTGAACATGTCACCATTTTTCTCAGTAAATATATTACTAGAGGTGCTAATGACATGAAATTTTCACCAGATGTCGGTAACAACCCAAGTGATCCATACATACAATGTCCGGAAATGAAATTATTTGTAATAATGTGGAATGGCACAGGGAAAAAGTATTGAACACATGAAGAA